CAGCTGATAATCCAGTGCAAGTCAGCTGGAAAAACAATTACTGTGACCTTCCCCAGGCTGAGAAGTTCAATTGGGCCCTGCCCTGCCCTGCCTTCTCCATCACAAGGAAAGACAGTTTAAAAAGAAGCAAAATAAATATTTTAAATTTCCACTGGGGTGTCCTTCCCCTCCCCTCCCCTCCCCACCCCCCCCAAAAAACCCAGAAATTGAGACAAGATACACATGGGTTTGGGGTGGTGTTTTCTGTCTAAAAATGTCAAGATTTAAGATTTCCCACTGTTCCTTTGAGATGTTTGCTTTAAGGCAACAATTCTTTTCTTAGATTTGCTGTTCATGATACAGTCCTACCGGCAAGCATAGCGAAGAAGCCATCACAGTTTTGAATGAAAGAACAATCCTGCCTTTCTTGGGAACAAAGTAATTTCTTTGCTGTTTATGGACAGACCTCTGTCCAAGCAGAACTACCATGACTGCTGTGATTCTCAACTGACAGCTGTAGGCTAGTATTTTAGTTATTCAGCTCCTCACATTCTAAGTCCATGCCAGGGTTTGCTACAAATATTATGCATAATTGACAATGCAGTTTGCTCTTATTAATAGTGCAGCATTAAATTGTTCCGTTCAGCTGCTATTAGAGAGAATGAAGACCATTGCTTAAACACGAAAGGCACATTTTCTCATTATTTAAAACTTTCTTGAAAAAGATACCGGTTTAGGACTGGAAAAGGTATCAGAAAGACTCGTAACATCATGGGACCAGTTTCCCATTAAGGGAACAAGCCTGATATCAGAGATACAGGATTGTATTCAACAAAGTCACCCTGTTAGAGCAAGGACTGCCACCTGCACAATCACACAATGCTTCCCGCTTCCCCTCCCAAATCTCAAGGAGATGGTTGAGGGGACAGGTGGGGAGGGGGACAGGTAGAGAAAGAGGGAGTCCTATTGCACAGGCAGAAGTATTTGCACTTTGTAGGATACAACTTCATACCTCTGAAATCAGGCTTGTTCTCTTAATGCAGGGGTCAGCAAACTTTTTCAGCAGGGGGCCGGTCCACTGTCCCTCAGACCTTGTGGGGGGCCGGACTATATTTTGAAAAATATATATGAATGAATTCATATGCCCCACAAATAACCCAGAAATGCATTTTAAATAAAAGGACACATTCTACTCATGTAAAAACACGCTGATTCCTAGACCATCCGCAGGCTGGATTTAGAAGGTGATTGGGCCGGATCTGGCCTCCAGGCCTTAGTTTGCTTACCCATGTCTTAATGGAAAACTGGGCCACTGTTACTTACTGTATACCACTGGCTATAATTTTCTAGATTTTTCTGCTACTAGAAGACACTAGCCAGACCACTGTGGGGGGTTTTTTTAGTTGCTTAATAAATCCATGTCTGTATGTAATAAATGAAAGCTCCTATGTTGCATGAATAATTAACATTTGAAGTGAAATGGAAGTTAGAATGCTTGAGATGCACATTTACAAAATAGTATTATTTTTAAATGACTGTAGAGGAACATAACTCAGGAATTCACAGGATAACAATTGACTGTAACTAAAATTATCATCTTCTTGAAAACTATTATTTCTAAAACATTTGGCTACAAGAGCTAACTGAAAGTGAAGTCAATGCATGCCTTATCACCCATTACTGATCATTATAAGGCTGACTTTTTTGTGCTCTTATAAGCAAACTCACTTGCATGATCCTGCATCGCTACAACAAGAGATGAGGGTGAGAGAAGCCTACAATCTCAAAGTCCATCCTAGGATGAATAGATGTGTCAAGTGACTAGGAAGGATCTTTCTAGGCCTGCCATTTCCTCCCATTCAGTATAAATAAGGTACCGAATAACCAAATATTAAGGAATCGAGGCAATGGTGCAAGATGAGTCTATAGTGGATAGATCACGAAATCACAAATGAGGTGTAATGACCCCTGGGGGAGCATCAAAGGGAACTCTGTGTGAGACGACAAAGGGGTCGGGCCCCCTTCACATCACAGATAAAGCAATGTGGGTTAGAAGCTGAGAGTAGAAGTTAACATAAGTGACAAGCAGAAAGGAGAGCAATGGCTGATATCTGTTTGAATCCAGTGGAAATGGCAAGACCCTCTTGGAGTGTAATTCAGTGGACCCCTCCTACACAGGCTCAGGTTGTATATATGTGTAAATAAACCATATATCATAAAGACACCACAGTCACAGCTGTGCCTCATTTTCCAAAAGGAAACACAGATCCTGGATAAGTGTGCCTGGAACTCCCTGGAATTTCACACCACTCTGAGATTGGGGGGTGGCGTGTAACCATACAGTGGAACCTTGGTTCTCAAACGGCTTAGTTGACGAACAAATCGGCTCCCAAATGTTCTGTTTTCCGAACGTTTTTCAGAAGCCGAACGTCCGACACAGCTTCCGCTTGAGTGCAGGAAGCTCTTGCAGCTAATCGGAAGCCATGCCTTGGTTTTCAAACAGTTTTGGGAGTCAAATGGACTTCCAGAACAGATTAAGTCCAAGAACCAAGGTTCCACTGTATTTGTATATATTACTTGCCTGGAAAGCTGCACTGCAAGTTTCAAAGAAATGTGAATCTTTAAGAGATGCCTGTGTTTTGGTTCTCAATTTGTTTTGGAAAGTGTGATTTAAGTGGATTTGCCTTGAAATGCAAACTGAATCAAATATCTCCCCATCCCTACCTAGGAGTAAGCCTCCATTGAATCCAGTGCAACTGAATCCTGAGTGAACCTGCAGAAGATGGTGTGCTTTGACGCTGATGTTGTGCTCAAGCATAGAACTGTGATTTCTGAGTTAACTGAGTTCATTTTAAGGTGTCACAAATACAAAGAGTTATGGAATCATCAGGAAAGACATTAATGGCCTGAACTGGCTGACCTGATCTTTTCGAGCAAAGAAAGAACCGTATTTGAAGCAGTTAATGGATGGCTTTCTCAACACTTCTCTCCTGGCAGTAAAGTACACACAGTAAGTATAAAATATGCCGTCAGATCTCAAAGCTGAAATAATTTGATGCTAGGCTTGCAGTTTCATTTTGATTAATCTCTCTAAAGTAAGAGGCTTTCAGAAACAGAACATAGTATTACAGGGAGCTGGGGGTTGCAAAATATTTATGTAAACATATATTCAAGTTAACATCAGTTCTTTTCACACTGGCATACCTCTACATGACATGGTGAGGAACTACATTATGGTAAACAGTTTGCAGTTCTTAATAACTAGAGGTCTACAGGGGGCTGTTGTAAGAGAACTGAATATTATGTCAGCTGCTGAAAGTCTATTATATATATTTCCCCTATCGATAGCCATTTGGATGACATTTGGTCATAAGGCACCTTGCTGAAGCTAAGGAGGTCTGAGTCAGGACCTCTTGGGTGCCATGTTGGAAGAAAAGTGAGATATAGTGTAAATGTAAGAAAATAAACCATAAACACAATAAATCCCCAACCAACAACTGTGATTAATGCAAATCAAGATCCTTAATTAAGGAGGGTCTGTCCCCCCCCCCTTGATTTTCACTCTCTTTGTTTTTGATTACTCTGACACAAATCAGATTATCTTACCAGAATACCTGACTATGGAAGTACATTAATCTGAATATTTCTCCAACTACAGACAACTAAACAACAATCTTTAACCTTGCAGCCTCCCCACTGAGTGTTGGAGCCAACTCGTTATACAATGAGAGCTCAGAGCTGGACAAATCTCTCAGTTTTTCATTTGTAGTCTTAAGTTTGGCTCTTTTCATTTCTGCATCAGTTTGGTTTTTTTGGGGGGGGGTTTAAGTCATCATTAGAATTCACTCACATTTAGTGCACATGCTCCTAATACTCAATTTTTTTGCGTGAAATTTTGCCTAATATCTACATTTCTGCAAGCAATTTCCCCCAGTATAATGCAGTTTTGCTATTCTCATTAATATATGGATTATTATGCATACTTTTACCTTATATATTCAATTAGAGAACTACATTGCAAGTGTGAATTTTGAAGAATAGCTACATTTTAGTCTGTGTATTGTATCATGGTGTGTAAATTAGATAGTTTTACATTAATTTATGGACTGAACCAAATTTCTCCCCCATCCCAAAGCTTAATATTATTCACTGAATTTTTGCTGATCAACAACAGCATTTTCTGAAACAGTTGCTTCCTCTGAATTATGGGCAGATTCTCAAGGCTGCGACATCATCCTTTCAGAGTGCAGAGTGTGGTTATCCATTTTCAACACACTGTCCTGCAGCATCTTGAAAGCCGAACATTTAGGGACAAGGTTGTATTAATTACATTAAGTGAGACATAGAATGATTATGATTTGATTGTACTAGTCATTTCCATGTTTAATTCAATAAACCCTCTGCCCCCATTTTATTAATTTATTGGAGCTACTTCCAAATTTCCTGTCTGCTGCTCTGGAGTGTCGCAGAATGTAGGTCACAGCTGCCGCAGCTTGGGCTAAGCAAACTGAGTTGCTTACTTCCAAGTGGACAAGTGTGCTCATACGAATTGGCACTTTCTTTGAAAGAAGAGCACAGAAACCAGTGACTGCACCTAGAAAACCTTCTCTTTTTGTCCTCTTCTAGACTAAAGTTCAGTCATTCTCATTGGCCGCATTTGGACGACATGCTAAACCATAGTTTAGTGTGATCTGAACGAAACATGATGAGCCTCAAGCTCATTGTCCCTGCTCCCCCCTCCCCCCTCCGTTCCCAGCTTGGGTTTGAGAATTTTAGAAGCTTCTGCTTCCATTTCTTATTAACCAAAGCTTGTCATGTCATTCCAACTGACAGACTGACGTTAATGTTGGATCTTGATATAAGAAGCCAGGATGGAGAATGTTGCAGAGGACCCACATTCCAGGAACAACAAAAGCTGAACTGAATACAATAGACTAGGATAAGATGAAATCACTTTAATGCTAGGTCTAGACTAGATTTAGATTAATGAGCTTTTCTTTGTCTTTTTTCATATCCTAATTGCGATATGGTTAACTGATACAACTTTTAATAATATCATCACAATATACTGTATGTTAAAATTGCTGCTTTTCAAAGTAATTTAGTTTTGGGCTAGGCAGTGGACCTATTAAAAAAATTAAGAAGAAATTGGGGGGCATTTTGGTATCACAACGGGGGACCTGTGGGCACATTCAGTAAAAATGTTTTAAAATATTTATTTCTTTTTAATGGAAAATAAGTGGGGCTTCGAAGGCCATAATGGCTTCACATCAGGAGACCCATAGGGAACAGTCCATGCTTCTTTAGAACACTAAAAAAATACAGACATCAAATCCGTACTTTTTTATAAGATGACAATGTGGGGGGAGAACTTAGGGAGACCTAAAAAGAAAAACTATTGGCGACTGGATACAACCCACAAGCTATGTGTTAGCCACCCCTGCTGTAGAGTTTGTTCCTACACAGCTTACCAGTGAGTCAACTACACTTCTGGCTGATTGCTAATGCTTTACCAAAAATCCTAATTGCATATTTCTAGCTAATCACAAAACATTAAGGGTTTGAAGAATGTAGTTCTGGAACCGACAGCAGGGCAACCTAGATATTACAAAACCATAGCTTGTGTGTGAAATGTGACTAGTTGGGTGGGGAGGACACAGTTCAGGGGAGGGGAGGGGAGGAGATACAAATATAATTCTCGCATTTGACTTTTTATTATTAGGTTCTCATAGTTGACTATATTGCTAAAATTCTAATAAAGCAGTGCCCACAATACAACCTTTTCAACTAAAAAAAGATACAATGCCTCTATCCTGCGGTTTTCATGCACGCCAACTTTGTTTTTCTTTCTGTTGACATACAAGCCATCCTTCCATATTCAGCTGCTTGCAAACACTGTGCCTCAGGCAAGAGTACTCTTCACTCACCACGTACACTTGTTTTCCTGGCTTTGCTTGCCGTGATCAGATTGGATCTGAAATGTTTTTGTTTTCTAATATTATTTTGTTTCTCTTTCCTCTGCTCAAAACACAGATTAGTGTAAGATGTGATTCAACTAGACAACTGAATTTGGAATCCTGCTTCTTCTGGGGGAGCTGATGGAGGGAGAAAGAAAACACCAGCGTTTGGAAGATCTAGGGTACCTGGTGGCCTTTTTTTGACCCTGGTTTGCCGTCAAAAATGGTAGAAAAGCCCAAACTGTACTAGACACCAGCTCACTACAAACTGTCGCTTTGTTGATCACACCTGAACTGAGTGCACCTCATCAGCTGCAGAAGCAAACAGAGCTGTCACGGCTGCGATTGCCTCCCACAGATATTAACACAGTGAACGCCATGACTAATGCAGTGCAGCTCAGTGCAAGACCACTGAGAGGCAGGAAGTCTTGCCACAGTGGTGCCCAACACTGACTAAGAGGATAGCACATGTAAAGTTCAGCTGCATTGTCCTTCCATCAAGTTCGGTATCAACAGGATGCAATTTAGCTTAGATTGACATCTAAGAACCTTAAGGGTTTCTCCAGGACCAGACTAATGTGAGTCTCTGGCCAAAATGGTGCTGCTATGAGACAGGACCAAATAATTGCCTGTGCTAGTACGCTGATTTGCCAAGCGTTGAGTAATTAATATGAAGAGGGGTGTAGCTTTCATGGCCACCTTGGTTGCCAACCATCTGTTGCATTAGAGACCCTTGCTTCCTCCCACATTCTGGCACCTGCTTGAAAGTGGAGGGATAAGTACAGGATGGTGATGAGAACACCTTACTTAGCCTTTCGAAGTGCACTACCCATAAAACGCAGGGGCCCATGGCTGTGATCAACTCTCTGCTTGCATCATCCTCCGTGACATATGACTGCATAGAGCTAGAGATAGGAAGGCTAACTATATTGGCCTTTTCAAAAAATATATACGGAAATTATGTGTTCTACATGAACAAATAGTGAATTAATGTGGCAGTTCCCTAATAGAAAATTGAGATATAGCTATCGTTATCTGGGTGACTCAGTTTCCTGCCCCAGAGAGCAGATGGTGTGCCTAATGGCATGGTGGGAATATGGTTAGTGTCTGCCCAGTAGGGTGAATGCAGCACGTTAACAGGAAACTGTGTGTGCTGGCTGATTTAAGGGTCTCCTGGCACAAAAGAAGTTCGTCTCCAGTCCTTGTGCTGGTGTGGGCTGAATGTAATCAAGCTGTAACAGCTCTGGAAATTCTCACAGCTGATGGCAAGGCATGTGGTAGGTGACCTGGCGGTTTCCCAATCTAATCGGTCTCAATATAAAAGATAATGTGTCTCCATAACGCTTAAAACACACACCCTAAAACCATAATGATTGATACTCCTGTCTAATGAAAGCTGCCTAATGTGAATCTATTTCTAACAGGTTTTGAATTACTTGTCATTAACTGGACTATTACTGGAACACAGTAACATATTTTATAGGTTAGGTATCCTTCTTGATTGAATTCAGTATCTACAATGACTTCTGTTAAAACTGCATGCTATAATCTGGCCAAGGCTTTCAAACCTACTGTGTGAAAGGCTAATAGGCATATAATCCTCCTCTCTCTCTCTCTTTTTTGGGGGGGATAAATATTCAGTCACTATTAAATATAATTAGATGCATGATCAGTAGACAGATCTGTTCTTTACCTATTACGATTAGTGTTCATAGTGTAATTATTGCAAAATGCAGCACAGGCATAACCCATGGAAATTGCAACCAGAATTCCTTTTAGCACCCCACTCCCCCCCCCAAATCACTGCTGTATAAAGTGGCAGGATGGAAGCACTTTTTCGGAAGCAGATGTGCTTGAAAGAAAGAGATGTCTTCAACTTCCATCACAGATTCTGTCCATGAAGGGAAGGACTCTAGAATGCCATAGGATGGGCTCCTAACAAAGGAAAGGCATCGCCAAAAAGAAAAGGACACAGGTTTGAATACACGTATGCACATTTAGAAGTCATCATTATTGTTTAAATCAGGGATTGCAAACGGGATCCCCCACTCCTGCCTGCCAGTATGTCAAGGAAAGAGGCAGGTCAGTGCTCCTGTTTCTTTGCTCTCTTCCTTTGCAGGTGTGGTTTGGCTTCAAGCTGCACTTGCGGAGAAAAAACGGACCTTTGCAGGAGCCGCTTACATCCAAACTGTGCATGGCTTGGATTGAAGCACATCTGCAAAGGAAAATCCACGATGCAACTGGGGCACTGCATTTAGCCTGGCTTTTGGCAGAGATGGGTTCCACTCAGGAGCTCACATTGGAAGTGCTCAAGTGCAGGTGACCGTAGTGAGCTTGCATTTGGTGCCGAATTTAAATTTTAACATCTTGGCATTGTGGGGAAGTCTGTGGCCACTGACCAGGTGTCCTGTGTGCCTGCTCAGTCTGCTGTCCAGGGGCTGGTGGTGGATGGGCAACATTAAGGCTTCCGTTGTCCCTTCCTAAAGTTATTTATCTCAAAATGAGAGACAGACAGGGCACTCTGCTCCTCTGTCAACCCATCAGACAGAAGATTGCTCTATGTACCGTTGGACACTAAAGCCACCATAGACGGCCACTTGACATAGACTGTAATTGTTATTTGTCAAGAATCAAAATAAACATGGTTTATCGTACGGACATTTGGTGACTTGGTACTGTGATTATTCACAACAATCCTTTGGATAAGACCCTTCCATACAAGTTACAGCATTGTATTTCGCTCAGTATTAATTTCGTTGTTGCCCTAGGATTTCTATCCAGATGGATTGCAACAAGGAGAGGAGTACTTCATTAAAAAGATACTTCCCTTGAGGGGAAAAACACACACCCCAAAAATCCAAACATAACAGGACTGGACCAGTAATTGGGAAGAGGAGCTGGCTGGAACAGCTGTTCCTTGGACATCTCAGGAAAAAACAATTAGTGTGCATGTGCCTTCATTTTGCAATTAAGTTTCACTGGACTGAAAGCTGGACTGAAAGCTTTGTTAGGCATTAAGCATGACAGAAGCATCACATTTCACGAGCAGAACTACCACAGTCCCTCAATGGGAAAGGGTGACATTTGCTCAGACTTTCACCTTTAAATGTCCAAGGGAAAGGGCATTCAGCTGGACATATGCCCACATCAATCCAGCATATATAAACAGAGTACCGTATACATCCAGGCACATATGATTTCTGGTAGTTTTTCTGCTGGGATTGATAAATGAATTGTATCCTTGGGCATAGTCTTCTTTTTTAGAACATAGATGAATACATCCATGTCTCAAGATGAACACAATTGCCACATGGAACGGCAGAGACATACCGTATCTGCCTCCAAACAAAAGTCTTGGGCCCACCTTCCAGAGTTTTTGCTTTGAAGCTATACTCATTCATGAAAAAGGCATTGAGAGTAAACTACAAGGAAAAATCCATACCTGCTGCCTTGTGGGACATTTTTTGGGAGAGGAAAAGGTTAAGGAGTAACCCTACACAAATCCAGAATGGACTCCCTAAGATGGTTGGGCCTTGTACGCCTCCTTCTGGCAACTCCCGCAGACAAGCTGGTGCCAAATGTATTGCTCTGCTTTCCTTTGGATCACATCAGTGAGGCCGAGAGTGGGGTTTTTTTCATCTGGGAAGCCCAGGACTACCATACACACTGCCTACACCAATGCAGCAAAAACAATGTGGGAGCCAGATGTGATTCTCCAGCGCTTTGACTTCACCCCCGGAGGCGCACTCCATTGTCTGTCAAGTCAGATGGATACCAGCCACCTTTGTTGGAGAATGGACATTGGTAGCTATTCCCATGCAATGTCTAAGATCCAAATTGCACCAATCTTTAGAGACATGGGCACCTTGCCCATATCTTAAAAGGAATTCTCTTAGAGCCCATCTTTGGATATGTTGCATCAGTATGTTGATGAAATTGAGAAGGCATAAATAAATAAATACTTTAAGAAATAAGAAGCAAGTTACACAACAGATGGCCCCAAAGAGCTATGTTGAGTTTGAGGATTAACCAGGCCATAACAAAAGATATCATTGCAAATTGTTAGTGTTGATGTGTTACTTATTATTGCTGAACAGTGTTCCCTTTAGCTACCAAATGCCAAATGCCTAAATATGTAGAAAACCAAGTTGTCCTCTCCCAGCTGCTCCCATTTCAAGCTGCCAGCTGCATTGTCTCATCTTTTAAGGACTGCCAGGAGGTATTAATGGGCCCCATTATGCCTATCATATTGTCAGTGAGTTTAGATGAAGTCTTATTGTGGTATTAATCTGATCATTTGCTATTAATCAGTTTTGCATTGTTGCTGTTCTGACCTTAAAGCCCTAACGAGCCTAAAAAATTAAGGCAGAGCGTATCACTAGATTTACAATGAAATGTAGAGTTCAAGAAAAATGCGGAATTACTAGTAACGTGTGAAATAACCATAGTGCCAACTTCATGTAAAAGACAGCTTGCAATTCTCTTTACAACTTTTGACACTCGGTCTAAACTGAAAACTTTTGCACTTCCTTCTCTGTACTTAAAATGTATCTTTGGCAACCACAATAAAATAATTGTAATCTTCCTTGCTCCAGTTAAAATGGAAATGCTTCAAAATGTGCCACAAGGCCACATCCCCATCTTACAGTTGAAGTATATTGCTTCCCTCAATGAACTGTAGTTTACCCCTCACAGATCTACAGTTCCCAGCTCCCTTGACAAGTACCAGTAGTTTGTACCCTGAATTCTTTGAGGGAAGCCGTGGTCTTTAATTGTAGGATATGGATATTATCATTCTTCCCTGCCTCCACCCCCCAAAAATTGTCTGAAGGGGTAGTAAAATTACAGTGAAATTCTAAGGAGGGGCTGGGGAGAAAAAGTGGCTCTACCACCACAGCCATAGTTTTTTTAGCTCTCACCACCAGCCATGTCAGAAGCACACAAACATGTGTGTGGTGGTGGGAGTATTAGTTTTCACTATTCCAAATCCTGGTTGGCATGGCTGACAGGCACAAGCACAAAGCCCCTCAGAGGACCCTTGGGGCTTTGGATCCAGTGGATCCAAAGCTTCTGCCACTCTGCTCCCAAATGGTCCATTTCAGAGCTCACCGATTCTTACCACCAGCAGTATGTCACTCCAATGGCAAAGGCCACTGGAGAGACCTCTCGACACAATCCCAGAATGCCACACCATCTATCAACATGGGTGTCATGAACTGGCAGAACAATGGCAAGGAGGAAGAGGATCCTGGTGAGGGATGTAGCCAGGACTGGGACACACTGGGGCAAACTGGAGATGGGGAAGGAGGTTGGTGTAAGAAGGTTAGTGTAAGAAGTATTCATGGGGTGATAGATGATGATGAGGGGATGGGCGCCAGTGCACAGGAACCAGAGCAGCAGGACCCATCACCAGAGCCAGAGGGGCCCCTGTCTCCACAAACAAAGCGGGTTCCAAGACGTAGGGAGAAGTGGGTGGGGCAATCCAGGAGATTGAGACAAGCAGGGCTTACAGCCCAGCTCCCTAGCTGGTCAAGTAGGACATACTAGCTCTGGGAGGAGGTGTGTGATTCCTCAGAGTAGACTCAGAACAGGTGAGGGTCACATGCCTCGTCAAGCCCAGATGCTGCAATCAGTTTACAAAGTAAGAAGGGCTGCAGAGCTGAGGTGCTGTGTCTGCTCAACTGCCCACGTTGATGGACCTCAGTTTGGATGCTGCAAGATCTCTGTGGGACTGTGGACATGTGAATTGACCCTGGACTAAGGACTTGACCTACTGACTTGCTGCCAGGTAGGCCAGGGGTTCAGAGCAATGGATGTTTGCAGGATTGCACCATGGCAAAAAAAATACTTTTTAAAAAGGTATATTTTACCAAGAAAGGTCCATCTGTACCTGAAAGCTTTCAGGTGCCACTGAGTTTTATAATTTTAAAGATATCTGGCAACATCCAACTAAGAATAGGCACATTTACTTCCCTCGATTTCAGTGTGAGAGAAAAGCATGTGTTAAACTTTCTCTCACTGAAGTCCATGACCCTGAAACATGCTTACTTTTGATGAGACCATACCCATATTGTTGTTTCCTTAAGAACACACACAGAGACACTCACAACTCATACAAAAGATCACCAAACAACAAACACCAATCCTCAGAAAGTTAGCAGATTCATAACAATATATACATAGCACTTGCAAAGTTAAAAGAAACTAACTTTGCCAACTTCCCCAATGTGCATTATTTTTTGCCATCCTTCATTAACGCAGGCATAACTTATTCACAAAACCCATGATTTTAATAACCATTATTTTATTATTGGCATTTACTTTGTTCTCTTTTTTTCCAAATTAACCCATCTGGTTTCTAATCAAAATATGTTTTTATGAGGTGGGTTTTAAAATGTTATTGTTGATTTTCTTGTTTAATAATCATTCTGTAATTGGATGTTAGCCAAATATAGACAGCTATGTGTGTATAAAGATTAAGGATACATTCTGTGGATAAGCAGTGGCTGTGGACTCCCTCTACCACTCCCCCATACCCCAATTTTGGGTCAGAGCACTCTCTTAAAATTCAGTGGGAGGTAAACAAAAGAGATTTCAGAACTCAGATAGCCCTATCCCTCAGATACCCTGCCCCTCTCCTCCTAACACCACACCCAATCCAACTTGTTAGATGCTGCGTTGCCAATTTCTGGCTTTAAAAGTCTTTCCATTTAGACCTGGTTTCAGTGTTGTTTTTCACCACTGGGAAGAATGCCATGTTCTGCAGTTGTCTTCTGCATCAACTGCACAATGTAAACTACCAAAAACCAACCAACCAACCAACCACCCACCCACCCTCTCTTGGAAGTGTCATATGGAGGCAATGAAAGTCAAAGCACAGAAAAGCACTGGGGCATTGATGAAGTTCTATCACAGTAAGGGAGAGCAGCTGATTCAATCCACTGTAAAGATATTTGGTAGTGAGGAGCTTACCTAAATGCTTTATGGCCTTGAAATCTGGGGCTCTGATTTGAATAGTTTTGGAAACACTGCAAAACATTCATTTTTTTTGGGGGGGGGGAGCTATACTCTCTACCATCAGGAATATGAGCAGGTCTTCTTTGTACAGAATTTAGGTGGCCAGTCATTAAGGCAAGAGCAAACTGCGCTCAGTTAAAGTATTTTAACTGTGCTGTGCTATATGGAATTAAGTGATAACCAACTCTGGAAAACAGCTTGTCAAGATGGTTCAGACTATTATTACTTTCCAGAACTGAGCTGTGCTTTGATCTTGAATAAGTATCAGCTAAGGAATTGGCTCTCCTGGATAGAATCCAGAAGGGATCTGCGACTAATTCTGATCACCCAAATTTCCCCTTGGAATCCACTCTTGAGAACAGAGCATCTTAGCACTAGTTATCTGACTCTACTCTCACCAGTTTCCTAAAGAAATGCCTTTACTGACCTGCATTTCCAAGTGATGCTCACTGCAGTCTTGGATGGCTGCTACAAGGTCCAGTACGCAGATAGGCTTTGTATTTGTGGTCAACCTCAGGTGGAAGATCTGAGACCCAAGAGATTACTTTCTGAAACCTTTGTTCACACACGCAAGCAGATACAACCTGGCAAAAATGTTTCAGTTTCTTTTGAGTGACAATAATAGTTTTGTAACACTGAGTGGCCCTCTATGAACTGGCTGAAAGAAAGGAAAACAGAAGGAATTAGAGAAATCACAATAAATTGTTGTGATGATTCGGAGGTTTAATTTGAAACCAAGATGGATTTGAGCTTGTTGGTGCCTCTGGTAACCTGCCTCTTACATCATGGATGGTGGTTCATATTATGGATGTATGATTTGTATTGTTTATTAGCACTGTTGTGTGGGTTTGTCATGGCCTTTGGCCAAAACAATGAACTTATGTTGATTTGATTGATCTGCCAGAAGCACAAGAAGCTACTGAAAATGAATAAATCACATTCTAGAACTTCATAAACAAGGTTGCCCAAATAAGGATTGCAAAGAAAAACTATGGCATCAGCCCATAAAATGCTGGTTGTTTGGGGGTTGTTGTTTTTAAGCAGAAAGGGATACCAGGAAAGGCTTGATTTGGATAAACTTTTCTGTGACTACTTTTGCTGTTTTACGTCTGCAGTGCTTTCCACACCGGAGGCCAAGATTTCATTGTAAGAGCTAAGATAGAGTTCTCAGAACAATAATGGTATATCGACTGAGGGTATGGGTTGTATTTCACTGCTTGTGGTGCAGCTGTTCTTCTCTCCAGGCTTCTACAGAAGGGAGGCACCTGTATTTTTTCATCCGACAAATATGTATGGCCTACCAGATAGCCGATAATTTATAGGCAGACATCTGCTGTTTCCCAGCTGTTGTCAGAAAAACTTCTAACGCTAACATTTTCTTGTCACTAACACAAAAATAACCATCGAGCTCATGTTTAAAATCAAGCTCATGTTTAAAATCAGAGGCAGAAATAAAAGTTGGGATATTTTTAGAGTGTTTGTATTGCTCCTCCTTAGCCAACAACTGACTTCAGTTACATTTTGTTAAGTCTCTCTCATTTTTCTGTGGTTGACTTCACTTGGGGATCTCACAAGGATTTGGCATCTTCTAAATAGCCCTGCTAAATTATGAACATAGTGACAGCTTCATTTGTTGCGTAAACAGAAGGCTTTTTGCTTTGATGGAACTGCTCTTTTATTGGTTCTTTTCTGTAGACCCAACATGTCACTAGGAAGAAGTGCAGTATACTCTACTCCCAATAAAATAAGTCGGTCACCTGCTTCTGCTAAGGATGTGCCTTAAACTCCACATTTTCATTAGAACTGTAAACACATGCTCTCATGATATTCTCTCATGATCATTGTCTCCTGAGAAGTGGGAAGTTTATGGCAGTCTTTGCAAGGCCAAATTCCTAAGAATGAGACTTCTCTGTAGATGTAAAGTGTCTGCAATAAGTCATTTGCAAATGTGCAGGTTGAGGAAATATTATGGAGGAAGCAGAAGCAAGCGCACTGGCAGGCAGTGTTAGCCCCTAACAATGGGTCATTTAGGCTAAGTTCATGCTCCTGCTAATTGTGCACTCACAACAGCAACAGAAGTATAGTGTCCAGATCAAGGCAAGTAATAGTACCACTCTAGTCTGCCTTGGTCGGACCACACTTGGAATACTGTGTCCAATTCTGGGCACCGCAATTTAAGAAGGATGTTGACAAGCTGGAGGAGCATGTCAAAACTATCACAAAGCTACATGTGACTTCAGAATCTCAGTCTGGCTTCTCCAAGATATGACCAGATTATTATAGCAATGAATGAACAGTTTTAAAAATAAAAAATCCCTAGGGATGAAATACTTCCCTAAGCCTAATAACGTCGGGGGTCAACATATTCATGCCAATGGAACATTTTCACATGTGTCAGAGTAAGCCTAAGGAATATTTTAAATGTTTGCTTTCAGAGTTGAAAAGTTTAATTGCAGCCCAAAGAATGACATGTGTTGAAAAGCCTGAATTAGAAGCTTTTGTATTCCAACTCCCCACCCCCCACCCCCACCCGCTGCCTTAAGCTTTACTTGGGTAGCATTTCACATCCATTATGTTTTCCCTTTCATCACGTTTGGTGAATTAGATTTATGCAAGGCTATTTTGCAGTTAAATACACATTTTGTTTTTACAGTCTGCCAATTTACAGGCATTAAATGTATGAATTAATAGTGCTTAAGATTAATGCAATAAAGTTTGTTTAGTTTAAAGAAGCGCTTTTGTTCCAAAGTACTATTAAATCTTTACATAAGACATTAAACCAAAGTGTCTTTGATTTGACTCTGGTAGGTGTCCAAATAACGTTTATAGAAAATGTGGCAGCTTTTCAATTGAGGAAAGGGATAAACCACCTTCTTTAGCATTTATTCCCTGGTCCTGACATTCAAGGGTGTAAGTACTGCTAAATACACAATGGTTATTCTGTGTGCCTTCTACACAGACACAGCAATGCTATTTTCTCAGTTAGGGTTTGCAAACTGTACATGGAAGAATCTTGCTCTGTATACTGAAATCTCAGCCTTGTATACTATAACAATCCACATTAAATGAAGAAAATGTACCATAGTGAGTAAGAACATAATTTTAAAAGATTTGCTTTCTGAAATCTCAGCCTTGAGACTTCACAGGTGCACTCACAAAAGGGACTTTATGTGATGATATTGTGTATTTTTTGGAATGAATGGATTAACTTCCAAACACATAAATTTAGTATTTCAGAGTTTAGACACATTTATAAAGGTATGAGTTGTGTCTGCAACTGTTTAAAAAAACTAAACAAAATACTTCCACTGTTTTAAGGGCTGTTTAATTTTTCAGTATTGTTATGTCTGTACAAGTAAATAGAGCATACTTTCTACAAGTGTAGATACGTTTCCAACCCTAGGAACCCTCTTAAAGTGTGGATAGGGGGCATTCAGTGTGTGTGTGTGTGTGTGTGTGTGTGTGTGTGTGTGGCAGATTGATGATCCTGGCTGCCATCGCAAATCTCTCTTCTCACAATCCTAGGCTGCTTCAACTTTGGGAAGTGAAGGTGTCACTCCCACAGCCCCACATGCTACCCATCTGCGCTTTGTCAGGCAGAACTCATATCCCAGGCTTCAAGAAAGAGACAAGCAAGGTCCTGTTATCAGACTTCTCTTGTGTGTTTTTTTTTGGGGGGGGAGTGTTTGAATATGCACAGGGCTGTCTTTAGCATATGCACCACCAGGGTGCAAAAATCCACCCAGCACCCCCAAATTTAGTTTAGCCACGCCCATAAAAATTTTAGGGGGAAGACTCAAAGTTGTTGAGCTTTTTTGGGAGGAAAGAAGCCGAAGTTGCTGACAATGCAGCAGAAATAGCTGCTTTTGTTTCCTGATTCTTCGGGAATATTTGATGCTACAGAGTAACAGAGTGACGGAGGGGTCCATTGCTTTTTACTGCCGCCAGTAAATTTGGCGCCCCCCAGAATTCGGCACTCGGATGCACTGCACCCCTTGCATCCCCGAGTAAAGATGGCCCTGAATATGCAAATGCAGAATACTGAACCCCTGTTTTCTATATGTTGGATATCCCTATATTGGTGAGTGAATCAACAAGGCTTATGGCCGCAATCCTTACTCGTATACCTGGGAGTAAACCCTGATGACCTTAATAGGACCTGAGTAGACACTATAGAACTGTTCTGTAAATTTCTTTGTGCAGAGGGAGGATTCTTGTCCCATGCATAAGGGTAGGACATACAGAGCATTCTGGCTGGGGTCATTCACAGGCATTAAATGAGAGGTGGGGAACCTGTGGCCCTACAGATATTGTTGGTGTCTGCCTCCTCCTATTGGCATGGCAGCATGACCAATGGTCAAAGGCAATGCTCCAGCAACATTTGGAAGGCCAAAGAGTCCCTTTCCCTATGTTACATACACATCCTGCTCTTGCAAGCTTTATTACCACCTAATTTCATATAACTGGCATACAGTCACATGACGACTGGCCTTTGAGCAGCTTTTTAAAAAAATGAAAAATGAAATATAAACAGCACTGGAACTATGAAATCATTTGTGCATCTCCAATTAAAAGCATGTATGTCAAACAGACATTTCAAAGGCACTTCCTGCATCTTGTCTCTAAGGTCCAAATCACAGCAATTAGGCAATTATGTCAGTCCCTTGGGTAAGCTGGAAATGAAAAAGTTCGTTCGTTCTCGGCTTGATTACATTTGTATCTATTTATTTTTTTAAGCCTGCCCATTTTCATTTCCTCAGCCATAAGTACATACAACTCGTTTAATTTATACGCACAGAAAATCTCTCAGGGTACATTATAAAACCACACCATCCATCCGTATCTCACCAGAGCTAGAAGCCCTGAAGGCTGCTTATATATGTTACAATTTATGTAAAGTTTGAGTTTGCTTCAGTTCTTCAGAATACCAGATGAAACCTCGTTCTTGGGCCTTTTTCCAGTGGCAGATTATCTGCTTTGCCTGCAAAAGGTCCCAGATTCAATCAGTGGCATCTCCAGGTAGGACTGGGAGAGACCCAAAACCCTGCAGAGCTGCTATCACTCAGTGCGGACAATACTGATCTCAATGGACCCAATAGCCTGACTCAACAGAAGGCTGCTTCCTATCTTCCTATCCTCTTGGTTTCCACAGAAGACCACATTGGCACTGAAGGCACAGTTCCTCCTGGATCCATAAGGTATATTGCTCCTTTCTATAAAAAGGAAGGGGTCAGAAAAGAGAAATGGATCCTACAGCAACTAGCTCAATATTTTGTCTTCTGAAATTAGCTATCCAGGGCTCTAGAACGCTCTCCCAGGAGAGGTACACATGAGTTACCTTTGTTGCTAAGTCTTTCAGTGGCAAATTAAAACTATTTTAAGAGAAGGGGAGAGAGGCAAGGGGATGGGGAAGAAGAGGCAGAGGGAAAGGAGGGGAGATGAAGAATTAATAGCAGCAGAAAAAGAAGAGCAGATGAAACACAGTTAAAGAATTAAAAGTGAGTCCCATATTCCAGGTTTGGGTAAAGGATGGATCCTAGATTGTAAAAAAGACTGCTGGATTGGGAAAAGGATTATGAAGCAAATACAAATCCAGCCTGGCAGATCACGATTTCTGTTTTTATGATCTACTGTTTGTATTAATAGGATTTTCATTTTATTAGAAACAATGTTTTATGGACCATCCCTGTTGTTGCTACTACTGCTGGAGATATTATTTACTGAAGATTTTTCATTGCAATGGAAATTGGCAAGAGCATCAGTTGTGTCATTCCAGTTCATTTCAATTAGGCTTGTGCTGGAGAAGTCCCTGGTGAGTTGCACCCACCACCTCTATTGCCATGTGTTGCTCAGGCCACTTGAATCATCACTGCAGAAAAAGCCATTCTCAAACATTCCTCTCCAGCTTGTGAAGCAGGTGTTCATGCTGCTGAAATTCCACACCACGACACTGTAAAACCTTTGCTGGGAACTGACATTTTATGACCAGGAAAACGAAACACACGAATTAGTGTAATTTAATATATTGTATGCTGTTCTTTCTTGGGCATTGTATCTTTCAGTTCCAACTTTTAATTCACTTTTTCCATCGTCACTGATAAATGATTTTGGTGAGGAAAGTTATTTATGTAGCTCTGTGCTTTCCTTACACCCGGATTCAAAATGCATTTAATCTCATCCAGCTCAAATTAGTTGGACTTGTGACAGGCAAGCTGATACTATAGTTTTGCTTAAGCAGTGGTGCAATCCTACATGTAGTCATTCATAGGAAAGTCTCAATGCAGCATATCCTGCTTATGATCCTATGTACTCACAGCAGAGAACAAAGCACAAGAGTATAAAGAAACCCAACATAGTGACATCAACAGGCACTCCCTCAGTATCTCTCTATTACAGTAATCTAATCTACAGGGGTAGGGGACGTGGGTGGCGCTGTGGATTAAACCACAGAGCCTAGGGCTTGCCGATCGGAAGGTCAGCGGTTCGAATCCCTGTGACTGGGTGAGCTCCTGTTGTTTGGTCTCAGCTCCTGCCCTCCTAGCAGTTCAAAAGCATGTCAAAGTGCAAGTAGATAAATAGGTACCGCTCTGGCGGGAAGGTAAACAGCGTTTCCATGCACTGCTCTGGTTTCGCCAGAAGCAGCTTAGTCATGCTGGCCACATGACCCGGAAAAACTGTCTGCAGACAAATGCCGGCTCCCTTGGCCTATAGAGCGAGATGAGTGCCACAACCCCAGAGTCGTTTGCGACTGGACTTAACTGTCAGGAGTCCTTTACCTTTACCTTTTTAATCTACATGGGTGGATGTAGATGATGGACAAATGTAGTGAGGTCACTTATTTCAAAGAAGGAAGCAGTTCCTGCCCTAACCAAAATTCGGAGGAACATAGAAAGCTACCATATACTGAGTGGGTCCATCTGTCCATCTAGGTCAGTATTGTCTCTACATAGACTGGTGGTGGCTTCCTCGGATTTCAGACAAGGATACCTTCCAGCCCTACCTGCAGTTGCTAAGTTCTAAGGAACTTTATGTACAACTAGGAAGGAGCTGAGCTTTCACTATTAACTTTTCATACTGGATAATTTTGGAACACTGGAGGCTAGAACCAACTCAGGAGGACTCAGCTGAGATCACATGCTTGGATAAGTAGGGGGTGACTTCAACAGAGGGTCTTTCTGTGCCTGTCTATAGTCTATTTCCTCCAGACAATTTGTGTGCTTTGATCATAGGAATATAGGAAGCTGCCTTATACCAAGTCAGACGATTTTGAGGCTTCTGCACTGCACTTTATTAAGGAGTCATTTGATCCCTGGATGATGTTTTAAACTGAAATTGAATGACAGAGAAGACTGGGAAACACAAATTAACTTAATTTACTGAAAACAGGGGATCTGCACCCACCACCACTCTAAGTTCTAAGTAGCCCTAATTTTGTTGTTAGCAGTGGCGTAGCGTGGGGGGTGCAGGGGGGGCCAGCCGCACCGGGCGCAACATCTGGGGGTTAGGGTTAGGGGGCGCAAATCCACGGGTTAGGGGGCGCAAATCCACGGGTTAGGGGGTGAAAATTACTTGCCTTGCCCCGGGTCCTGACAACCCACGCTACGCCCCTGGTTGTTAGAGCTTCCACAATTCTCTTAAATCAGAATTGTGCAAAATTATATTATATTAATAAGCAAGTTGCAGTTTAATCCTGTAAACCAGCCGTCACCAACCTCCAGATGTCGTTGGACTACAACTCCCATCAGCGCTCTGCCAGCATATGCTACCAGTAAGGAAATTAATCAAAGCTTCAGAGATCAATTTTTCAAATAGAATCTGGAACTGTGACTGACTTTATGAATATGATAAATGAGTTTGCAGTGTGAGTGCCTAAGTGTCCATTAGAAAACACTCTGCACATCATATCATTGATGACATGGGAGAGATAACATAACAGACTGTGATGGTTAACTCTCAACATCAACTCTGCTGACAGACCAACTGCCTTGCCTGCCTCAACTGTAACCTAGCAGCAGCCATTCCATCAGGCTGCAGTAGAGGAAGAGAATGGAAGCAAGGCTGCTCTATCAGCTCTTTTAAGAGACCAGCTGTCTTCGGCTCTATTTCTCCCACATCTGGCACGGAGCAGTAACCATCCTGTCCGATATCCTGAACTGTTTCCATGCTACCAGTTGTTATCAGAACTGTAACTTTTAAGAACTGGTACCGGAGTTTGTTTTCCCCCTTTACCCTCCCCATCCCTTTTTCCTTTTGTGTTGTGTCTTTCAGGCTGTAAATCTAAATGCAGGGATTGTCTCATTTTAAAAATCGATTTGTAAGCCTTTCCAGCAGAAAAGCATAATAAAAATGCTTTAAACAAACAAACTTCTTTCTTCTCATTTTTGCATGCTTAGCAAATGACGTCTCAGGCATGGCTGCCTCTCAGTGCTTCTAATAGTACTCTGCCGGGGGGAAAAAACAAAGGGGACAATAACTCTTCAAGGATAGCACCTACCTTCCCATTGCCAGCTGTAGAGGCAACGAGGCAGAGAGATTCTTATTCAACCAATTTTTGCTGGTGTAAGACTATTCTTTTCACAGACTGCATTTCAGTGGAAGGTGCAGATTCTAATAAGCTTTCATCTCAGTTTTATGTTAAAATGGCAAATATTTTATGTAGGAATCTTGGGTGTCCTCCCCACCACCACCGGCCTCTCCTCTTGTTGTTTTTTTTTTCATGATTCCTTGCTGAGCGTATATCTTTGTGGTGCCCTGATGGAAATTTCCTTTACAGAGTTGCAGAACAAGGTGTCAAATCCTTTATACAGATTTGCGGGTGACATCAAAAGGCTTCACTTCATTGCTGTGGCAGGCTCTACCCAAGTGTCACATCTGAATCTTAATATGAAATCCACATTGGCTTAATGCCAGCTAAGCAAAGAGCAAATCCTTTCTGCAAATGACATCCTTAGATGAGCATTTGAATTAGAGCGAGCAAAATGCCAGCTTAAATTGCAAGAGAAAATGGGAAAAATGCATGTATGACGTAATGTATTTGCTCTGTGGCCTCCCCACCCCCAGGAGAGAGTCTGCTAGCAGGAGAAAGCAGATTACTACAATTTCAATAGCCAGAGGAGTCCCAGAAAAGATTTATCTGGCTGGGGACTTCTTAGGGTAGCTGGGATGCTTGGAAGAACAGCACGGGCAGACTTTATTAAGGGCTTCATACAGGCATGTGCAACTTGTGTCCCATCAAACTTATTAGCTGTGCTTTGGGGGGGCAGCTGAGGCTTGGCAACCCCCCAATTTTGCAGCCTAAGTAGGCAGTGAAAACAAAGCGTATGGAGTCACTGGCGAGCTGGGTGTCTGGTGGGCTAGCTCACAAGTTGCACAAGCTTTTGACTACACAACTTTTGACTGCAGCCGCTCCAGCGACAGTGCCTCATCAGTGCCCAGATTATTGTCCAGCTTACCTAGAATCATAGAATCATAGAATAGAATCATAGAATCATAGAGTTGGAAGAGACCACAAGGGCCATCGAGTCCAACCCCCTGCCAAGCAGGAAACACCATCAGAGCACTCCTGACATATGGTTGTCAAGCCTCTGCTTAAAGACCTCCAAAGAAGGAGACTCCACCACACTCCTTGGCAGCAAATTCCACTGTCGAACAGCTCTTACTGTCAGGAAGTTCTTCCTAATGTTTAGGTGGAATCTTCTTTCTTGTAGTTTGGATCCATTGCTCCGTGTCCGCTTCTCTGGAGCAGCAGAAAACAACCTTTCTCCCTCCTCTATGTGACATCCTTTTATATATTTGAACATGGCTATCATATCACCCCTTAACCTCCTCTTCTCCAGGCTAAACATGCCCAGCTCCCTTAGCTGTTCCTCATAAGGCATCGTTTCCAGGCCTTTGACCATTTTGGTTGCCCTCCTCTGGACACGTTCCAGTTTGTCAGTGTCCTTCTTGAACTGTGGTGCCCAGAACTGGACACAGTACTCCAGGTGAGGTCTGACCAGAGCAGAATACAGTGGCACTATTACTTCCCTTGATCTAGATGCTATACTCCTATTGATGCAGCCCAGAATTGCATTGGCTTTTTTAGCTGCCGCGCACACTGTTGGCTCATGTCAAGTTTGTGGTCAACCAAGACTCCTAGATCCTTTTCACATGTACTGCTCTCAGGCCAGGTGTCACCTATCTTGTATTTGTGCCTCTCATTTTTTTTGCCCAAGTGCAATACTTTACATTTCTCCCTGTTAAAATTCATCTTGTTTGTTTTGGCCCAGTTCTCTAATCTGTCAAGGTCATTTTGAAGTGTGATCCTGTCCTCTGGGGTGTTAGCCACCCCTCCCAGTTTGGTGTCATCTGCAGATTGGATCAGGATGTCCTTGAGTCCATCATCCAAGTTGTTGATAAAGATGTTGAATAAGACCGGGCCCAAGACAGAACCCTGTGGCACCCCACTAGTCACTCTTCTCCAGGATGAAGAGGAACCATTGATGAGCACCCTTTGGGTTCGGTCAGTCAGCCAGTTACAAATCCACTGAGTGGTAGCATAGTCAAGACCGCATTTTACCAGCTTCTTTACAAGAATATCATGGGGCACCCTGTCAAATGCCTTGCTGAAATCAAGGTAGGCTACATCCACTGCGTTCCCTTCATCTACCAGGCTTGTAATTCTGTCAAAAAACGAGATCACGTTAGTCTGACATGACTTATTTTTCAGAAATCCATGCTGACTATTGGTGATCACAGCATTCCTTTCTAGGTGCTCACAGACTGTTTGCTTAATGATCTGCTCCAGAATCTTCCCTGGTCTGTACCTTGATGTGTCAGCAGTAGGACCCAGAGAAATGTCTTTGAGAAAGATATTCACACACCCAGGTGTGCTCATATTACTGCATTCATGGTCTGTTGTGGGTTTTTCAGTGACATCTAGTTGGCTGCTATGAGAACAGGATGTTGGAATAGATCCACCTTTGGCCTGATCTAGCAGAGCTCTTCTTGTGGGGAAATTGCAGTGAAACATAACTATGCATGAGTGCTTGTTAATGCATGAAGGGGTTAAGACCACAGAATTGTAATGCTAGACTCAGTTAGATCACACACCCTCACTTCTGATGAGGGAAGAAGTGAAGTTGCTTTTCTTTTGTTTCTTCATTCACTTCACACCATGTAATTGACCAGAAAGGACGTGCCTGAGTTCAGACTGCATACTTGAAGATAACTTTCTGTATTTTGTAACCCAAGAGTATTCTGTGTTCTCCTTGCTGCTGCATGGAATAACACATGAATCAGACCTTTCAATTTTGTAAGTAAATCATTTTAAACTTAGCAAGGTGTGGTCTGCTCATTGCCAGAAGCATAGAGAAATGGGCAAGAGTTGTAAGCAAACTAAAAGGGATATCAAAAGGGATTTAACAACCTTTCATAGAATCATAGAGTTGGAAGAGACCACAAGGGCCATCGAGTCCAACCCCCTGCCAAGCAGGAAACATGCTGTACATATGCTGTACAGGAAACATATGCTGTACTGTACTTTCCATGCTGTACTTTCCATGCTGTACTGCTGCTTAACTCTAAGACTGGTTTAAACATTGCTGGGGGCTGTCACCTGCCGGAGAGTGTGCAAAGTCCCACATTTTGAATCCAGGCGTCCAGCTGATTTTTTGAAAAAATATCCACACATGTGTCATGGATCTTATTTTCATCCCACACTTCTTATATGCAAAAAGGCAACCCCTACAGGTCCCAGTATACTGTATTTGGAGCTTTAAAGCTTAGAACCTGAACACAGTATCGTACTCAGAAATAGACCAGGATAAATTGCAGTTAAGACTGACAAATATATATTCCCTGTACCTGATCCTCGTCAATGTTCTAGCTGCTGTATTTTGTACCAACTTTAATTCCTGAACAGAGGTGGCCCCACGCAGAATGCATCATAGAGGGATTTTACCAGTACATGGATTACATTCCGAAAGCTAGTTTTCCAGTGATCACGAGAATATCTCCTGCCCTTAATTCCCTTTGATGAAACATTAACTGATCATCAGCAAGCCCTGAGCCTAATAAACTAACTAGCATTTCTAACACTACTCTGAGGAGTTATGAAGACAGGGGATCACCCTGGCCCAAAGCTTCGCATATGGTGGATGATCGGCAGAGATGTGCATCCAGCCCCTAAAAGAACCCCTCTCCCAAATGCACAGATGTATCTCAAGATTTGTAGTTCCTGTCTTTTGCTTCCATACGTAATGTGTTCTTCATTATGGTGTTAGATGCTTTCCAAGTGGCAAGTAGACAAATAGTCTGCACACAATTGGCCTATGAAGTACTATTTCAAATTCTTTGACTGCTTCCATGGGACAGATCTCCCATGCTACAGAATCATAGGGTGAAGAAATGGAAATAGAAAGCAGAACCTATAGTCTGTTATTAGTTGCGGCCTAGAATAACTGTGGCTCTATTCTCCCCCACCCAAGCACCAGTCACAGAAATTATAAACATGAAGTACAGCTGCTGAAGAAGAAGAAGAAGAAGAAGAAGAAGAAGAAAGCTCACCCCACCCCACCCCAAGGGACTTCTAGTGTAGAATTGTTCAATGAGGGATGTCCCCAGTTTCCTGTCACGGTCATGACAAAATCATTTCTGCTGCACAGTTTCCTTTGGAATCAGAGGAAAAGCTTCGGCTGGTGGTAAAGGATAGGAAGATTCAGGTCAACCTCTCCCATAACGGAACAGCTGCCAAGTCTACAGGGATATTGTGCTCTCCAGCCCTGGTTGCAGGCCTGTGTCTCTCCCTTTGATCTAGCAGCAAGTAGTTCTGTGGGCCCCAGGAGGCCTCAGAGGTGCTGAAAGCTTTGATTTGAGAAGGGCCAGTCCCACCACAGGCTTGGATCTTCCAGCTGCTTCAAATCTCATCTGACTTGAAATTTAACAAACAAGTATCTTGAGCCAAATACAAACATTTGCAAAGCATTATTCTGTCTCGGCAGTTCAGGATGACAGTTTATTTTTAAGTTCATTTCAAAAGCTTTTTGTCTTTCAGCGTTTTTTGTTTTTTAAGAAATAGCTCAGTGGATAGTTTTTCTCCTTTGTGTAGTGGTGGTCCTTTTGCAGCCTAAAAAAGGATAATTGATTCTATTATATGATGGGGAAATGCTGCTGAATCTCCAAAGTTACCCTCTCACTGCTGCCTCCTTGATAATGGTAGCAACTGAAAAGAAGAACCTTTCAGGGCAGGGTGGGGGTACTATGTGCGAGGTTTGTTCCAGACTGAGCAGATGGTGGCAATGATTGCCAT